CTCCCACATGGAAATTAGGTTTCTGAATAATTTGCAGATACTCCTGACCATTGAAGAACAAACATATTTTACCAGAAGCTCGGATTCTGCACACCTTGCTAGCTCCCTCATTGGAAATACATTGGTGAGTTGCTTCGTTACTAGCTAACTTGCTGACCCGTCCATTTCCAAGAAACCTGTCCATGGTCCCCCTTTGTTCGTGTTGCTTTTGGCTGGATCCTCCACCCACTGTGGATCTTTAAAGATAAGCGGCGTAATAAATTCCCAACACATGTACTCAACACAATACGCCTAGCAGTGCAGAACTCGGCGCTGCTGAGCAAGCGCTGCAAGGCGCCTTTCCAAGGAAGGTACCTCTGTAACGCCCTACCAAGCTGCAACTCACCGAAACGGACGCCCACCGCGCTTGCTTACCCACTATATCCGATGCTGATTTGCGAAGTACAATATGAAGCGAAAGCATTGATATTAAGCGGCTGCGGTGTTGCATGGATATATGAGTACACACATGCAACCGTACCTGCCGTAGCGGTTATTGGCAAGATGTTTAGGAAACTCGGCCAAAATTGCTTTCTGAGTCCTAAAGAACGAAGGCTTTTTTTTGCAGGTTTTTGACCGTTTCGCTTCATTTTTTCGCCATTTCCCCACTATATACCGCGCTGCTGGCATTGTAGACCGGGACAGAATTATCGTACCATGAGCCTTTAAGGACGGCGAATGTCTAGAATAAGTTGTTACCCAAGCAGATGGCTGCATTTTGAGGACGAGCAGCGCTTCATAAACGTGCTGAGGAACGCAGTATTTGATCCATTGCAACACGCTCCGGGGAGGGTTCAGTGCTTCTTCGAGAACAGATGTCCTGGTGTACGCTAGAAGTCAGGGGGTTGCTTCAGAACGTAACAAAGTTAGTAATGACATGAAAAAGCTACATTGAAGGGACAGCAGTAAGTAGGAATTCAATAATTACGGTCATTTACGGTTTCTTTGAATACCTCTCCAATAAGCCTAGTTCACCAACACAATATTCTCATTTATTAAGTTCAATTAACCGGAAGTTTTGTTGCTCTTCAAATTTTGGGTGCTTTGATGTCGTGATAGCCAGTGGAATTTTTGCAAATGAGCGAAATATGTTCGACGAGATGACCAAGGCCGTAGAACTGAAATGAAAATCTGTAGTGCAGACCAAGGATGCACCACGCATTCAACTTTTCTGAGAGGAAGCTACACTCCCTCCACCTAAAGGAACAGCAATAGAAGTCAAATGAGTAGTGTTTCTGAAAAAGGTTCTGGTCTATAAGCAAACCGGCCCTCCCTCTTCGTTTCCCTCTTCGTTTCTACCTTTATTGAGATGATGTTGAAGTAACTGACACGCGAATCCTTCTTTGACGGGCGGATATCACCTCTCAAGAAGCCAAAAATCCATCTTTTTTTGGTGACATCGACTGTGCTCTCATAATATTTCCCCCGCCAACAACCCACCCCCCCCCCGGCGCATTCATGATGATTATTCAAAGCTTCAGGAAGCTCAGTGATGCTCAGATTTCAGTAAGTAGATTTATAGCCAAATTAGGCAGTAGTTTGGTAATGCCTGGTATTTAACACGGCAGTACAATCACCAACCATTTGCGAAGCAGTATGCGAGAGTTTTGGCGCATGAAATTCGCCTGAGGTGGTCCAGGTTGACGTCATCTTTTTCTCAATGTTTTTCCTCACACTGTTCCCAAATCTGAGTCAGAAATTCTCCCTCCAGCAATCCACGGAGAGGGTCGCATATTGTTCGCCTCCGTAGATTTTCAGGACCTTCCTTTACCTCTCTAGTTATAACTTGTTTGATTATTTGTTATTTATAGTTTTTTATGTATTTTATTTATACTTGGTTTCAGCTCACATCTCGAGATGTCCATGACAGTCACTGGCCCTCCTGCAATCCGAGCTCAGGATATCATTTCACGTGAAGAACGCCTGCTCTCAGGAGAAAGTGTGGTACATTGCGGACAGTTGTTGTCCGTTGGTACGGATGTATTGAGCGGTCACGGTACCATTTCTACTGAAGATAAGCTTTTTGCTAATGTGTCCGGTGTGAAAATGCAATTAAACCGGTTGCTACTAGTAGAGCCCTACAAATCTAAGTACATCCCTAAAGTGGGAGATGTCGTAGTGGGTCGTATTGTTGGCATTAGAAAAGCTCGTTGGAAAGTGGATGTGAACCACAGACTGACTGCAGTCTTGCATGTGAACAACGTCAACCTTCCCGGCGGTGAGCTTCGCCGCAAGGGCCCGGAGGATGAAGTCGCTATGTCGAAGCATTTAGTAGTAGGTGACTTGGTTATGGCGGAGGTCCAACAAATACGGATGCGTGGACAGCTACAGCTCCACACAAGAAGTCTGAAGTATGGAAAACTTGGCCAAGGGCTGATGATTAGAGCCCCTGCGAGTTTGGTGAAGCCTTCAGAAGGACCACGTCCTTGAAATAGATGGAGTTTCTGTAATAATTGGATGTAACGGTATAATTTGGATTTCTCCTTCTATCGATACTATCTCTGACGGTCATTTCATTCCGTTAGTGCCACCAGCCAGACGTTCTGCTTTGGTGAGAACTGCTGCCTGTATTCGATTACTTGTTAAAAGCCTTGTTTCCATTTATGATGTCACCATTATGTGCGCCTATAGCGCATCGCTGGCATACCGGGTGAGGGAGTTGGCACATCCTAAGATTTCTTCCTTTCTGATGCCGAGAATTGTGGAGATGACAAAGGCAGAAGAGAAGCAGCGTGCACTGGAGAAAACCCGGAAGGAAAAACAACGAGGAATGTAGAGCTTACTAAGAATTCAAAATTAGGCAGTAATGTTTGGACAGTTTCTAATGAGAAGCAAATGGCAGCCAGTGGGTAGGTCTGTCTCCAGTCTTTATGCTCACCACCTTCTATAGACCTTCCATTTTTTTGCTTAGTCTTTTTTTTCAATTCAAAGCATAGCTTACATTTTTTCATTTTTTCCCTTCGCTTAAGGTTTGTTTTTTCGCTTGGCCGTAGGAACTTTTCTACCCATGTTTTCCTTTGAGACTGGATTTCGTTGTTTCTTTACTTTTAATCTTATTTTCGACCAACAAATCCAGAGTTGGAAAAAAATTCATAATAAAAACAACACCTTTTGTTAATTTGCTATTTACCGAGTGTTACTTCCGGGTTGCAGTGGGGCGCCTCAGACTAGGAGAGTATTACATGCTGAATCAAAAATCCTGAGGCGAATGTCTAGTACGCGACGCGCCGGTGACAACGAATTCTTTGCCAAGCTAGCTGCAGCGTTGGCGCTACGGACACCGGACAACCCAATAAGCAAACCCAAGAAGGTCAAAACAATTGTTTTGACTGAAAATTCGTTTTTAGTGGTAATCAGTGGCCCTGATCACAAATATAACACCTATTCTTGGCGTCCGCGCAATTTGGCGACAGAATAGCGCTGACGTATCCCATAATTGGTGGTAGCATAAAACGAATTCAGTGAGAAGACAGATGTGGGCCCAAATTGTCTCATTAATTGACACCACACCAGAAGTTACTAAATTCGCAATCAGATCCACTGTATAGCCTATGAACAACGTCCAGCAACAATCTTGTTCAATGGTGCGTGAAAATCGAAATAGTTGAATAGCACTGACTCATGAGGTATAGCTACTCAGAATGTGCCCATAAATGGCAAATATCCGAGTTATATTCATGCGCAGACACTAATGGAAGCGAGAACAGCGAAATCTAAAAAATGCAAAAGCCTACGACGCCAAGGGGAGCGACCATGCAACCCGCACCCTACTGATCGATTCAAAACTTCACTCTAGCCGCTGAGGCACATCCGATGCTCGACAGCTGTAGGTCTTATCGTTGATGAAACCATGCAAGAAGCCGTTCACCCTTGAGCACTGACCCAAGTTGGAAGCTCACTTACGGCGATTTTCGCTTCGATTCAGAAAGCCCCTTAATAAGACTCCCACTCAGCAACTGGTCAAAGTTAGTGACCTACGCCGTAAAGAGGCCCAGAACGAAGCCGGTTCTAAAGATTTCTTTTCACTCGTTTTTTACCGTTCTGGAGGCGCGCATGAGGCGAATGAAGCACACTTTTCAGGTCCTTGCATGAGCCCCTACAATATGCAAAAAACCGTTTTCGAAAAGCGCACCACGCCCTGAACGACCTCCCTTGTTAGTGCAGCACAAGGCAGAATGGCAGTTGTCTCAAATGGAAATTCACCATGAAAAAACACACCTTGAGCCGTGTTCAAATGAAGTATACAGCCCCTCCCGTGCCCCTGCAACTTTCAATTGCACAAAAAATTTGGGAGAGGTCTGCAACTGCGCATGCTTTTTTCTATGTGTTTTATTTAGTTTGCTTATTGTTGATGTGATCGAAGAGAAAACAACTAACACAGTTGTTTTCTCTTCGATCACAACTGTGTTAGTTGCACGATTGCTTTTTTGAGTCTGTGGTGCACTGTTGGGTAGATTTCAATAAATATTTGATCATATATTTGCTCAGATTTTGTGCACATTTCAAGGGATGGGGGAAGAAGCTCATGATCCAAAGCGCTCTATGAAGAGTCCATGAAAGTATTAAAGAGTATCGTACCGGAGCACTGGAGGAAAGGGGGCCTCAATGAACTATCGGCGCCTATTAGCGCCGCCCCAACCTTCACCGAATATTCACCGCGAAACGCAGTACAAGGTTGTTGTTCGCGGATCAACTTCTTCCCCCCCGCCAACCGACGCCCAATATTTACAAGTTCTATGCCTTCGTGCCTTTAATCGTGCCTTTAAGTACCCTGCCTTTCATGTTAAAGGTTTTGCCATGGTGACTAAAAGTAGTCGCTACCAACGAGCCTACTTGCGGATCCAATCTTGCATAGGGCAATGAGGTCTGTACGATTTTAAGTAATGTGAACTGCAAGGCTGGCGCAGATGAAGACAATTAAAGCACTTTGTTTTATGTATACATTTCAAAAATGCGTTAACTTAACATCCAACCTTTGCTTCTTGAAATAATTGTGCTGTTATGAGAGCATCATCTGGGAACATCACACGACCATCTCGTAGGTAATTCAGGATATACTTGAATAAAGTGGGATCACGATCGATGAACACCTCACCTTTCTGAAAAAAAAAACACAATTTCTATGTAATAGTGAACCTGAATAGATTCTTGATTCGCTCTACAAATATTAGGTTGTCCGGAAAGTTCTGCAGGTTTTGTGTTACTATTTTTTGCACATTCATTGCTGATTAAAAACTCATTCTACCTTGGTCTCAGTAGTACATCCTGAAGAGAATTCTTGCGCTATCTGATTAACTGCCGTTTCCCCATTGCTTGACAAATCCCCTTTTTTTCAAGGAATCGACGAAATGTACCGAAAATTTTGTCAGCTGCAGCCAACACTTATCAAAAGAAGGGTCCGATTCTTTTGCATGACAACGCCCGCCCACACGTTTCACAAATCACTATCCATAAATTGAACGAATTGGGGGTTGAAGCAGAGGCCTACCCCACCCATATTCTCCAGACCTTTCACCAACCGACTATCACCTTTTCAAACATTTTCAGAACTTCCTTGCTGAAAAATACTTCATCAATTAGGACCAGGCAAAAAAGACCTTCGTAGATTTCGTGGATTCTCGACCACCCAGTTTTTTCTTTGATGGGATTCTCTCGACTGCTGTCACATTGGCAAAAGTGTGCTGATTCGAATGGTGCTTATTTGGATTAAATCCGATGAGTGTTAAGAAAGTTATGATCGTTTAAAGTGAAACACTCGAAACGCTGCAGAACTTTCCGGACAACCTAATAGTACTGTACCGAGTAGTCGAGCGTGGTGAAGAAGCAGTCGCCTATTGAGTTGTTTCTGAGAGTTGCCTCCGACGTGGAGAACTTGGTCCCACCGACATTCAGCACGACAGGTTCACTGGACATAAATCTGTGGTCGCTAAGGAAGAGGAGAGCGATAGGAATGGCAGGCCTTATTGTGGAACCGGTGTTTTCAGCGTTTGTGGCCATCCTTTTTAATACCGTCGCTTGACTAAGGACACGCGTCCAGGGCCAAGTTGGCCGTTGTGTTGAAATCAGCGACTGGGTGCGACGTTGCTATGAAATGACTCAGACCCCCTACCAAAAGCGATAAGATCACCTAGCCAGGCAGGCTCTCTTGCTGGTCAGCACTTGTGTGAGAAGACAACCTTTTATTCTTTCAGAGATCACCTGGGTACTGTCTGGAATGCCATCTTCTGAAAAATGGTTCCAAAAACATAACATCAACTCGGAGCACTACCAATAGAAGTAGTCCAGAAAAACATCTACTTTTTCTCGAACGGTACGTAATGCACGGTTTCTTCGAGAAAAAACTTGATCGGTCATTGGCTAGCTTCAGTGCTCGACATTCCAATTCCAAATTTGCGGGCCGAGCGTAAAATAAGCGTTCGAATATTTCTAGAATCGGGAGCTCGAAGTCAAATCAAACGGGCGTTTTCGCTAATGCCAAGCACCTATGTTTTCTACTTTTTACAATCCATTCGATTACGCTCGGCCTGCAAATTTCCGCCCTAGGATAATTGAATGAGCTGTAAAAACGGGCAAACATGGGAAATCAGCTTAGTGACCGTCGCAACCATGCAGTCACATTCATCACGATTTCTTATCTCTTCCCGCTTTGGGCGTTCTGGTTCTCTTCCGGCTACTCCGAACTTACAGTTCTGGTTTATTGAGAGGAAAATCTTACATTCATTTATCCCTGTTGGGATGCAGGAAGCATTGCTTATATTCAATGATCGCGATGACACCATGAATGTATAGGTGTCCTAAAAGTCCGTGACATTTTCACACTTCTTTTCGGGTCCAATTCATTAAAATATGCACCATCTTCATCGACGACTTGTTGCCAACGACTGTGCAGGGAGTGGATATCTTGTTCCCAAGAGCTTTCCTGTTTTGCTAAAAACGTGGTTAGTTCGTCTACGAGCTTCTTCGAGTCGTAACTCTTACCCGCTGCATGGCAGCTAAGGGGCAAGAAGAGATGGTAGTCGGAAGGGGTTAGAGGGCCGTACGGTGGGTTCCTAGCCAATCTTCAAGATTTCAAGCTGTGTCTTCAAACCGTGCGACCATGCGTTGTCGGAAGCAGTTATACTTCGTCGAGTCACGGAGTCGGATGTTGCGATTCTTCGAACATCCTCTGCAGCGGATTACAGTAAAGCTCACTGGTCACCGTAGCATTGGGAAGAAGAACTTCCTAGTGGCACGCTAGATAAACACCGTACACACGCAAAACACGACCTTCTTCACGGGTTTGTCGGATTTCACGACCGGTGTCGCCCTTTCTGATGTAACTAGCCACTGGTACTTTCGGGTGTGGTTCACGCAGAGATCACTTCTCATCTCCTGTAACAACATTGTTTAACCACTTCGTAAGGCAGGAGCGGGGAGAAGTTGTAGGCAGCACCCCATGCATTTGGGTCTACGGACAACTTGAACTTCATCTCACGGAGAATCCATTGGCCGAGCTTTACACTTTTCCAACAGAGTGAAGACTCTATCAATTGTGTTCCTGGCGCAGCCAAGGGCTCAAACGAGTTGGCTTGTACGGACTGCTTCTATCAGGGATTGCAGCAGGTCCAAATCCAACACAGATGGCCTCCTTGACCGAAGTTTGGCTTCCAGGTTCACGTAATCAAAACGACCAAACCGTGACACCGTAATATGAGCGATAGCATCAGGACCTAACACAGTGCAAATGTTCTGGGTGACTTCGTTTATATTGTGACCCAGTTTCAACTCACATAGCATACAGCATGCGAATGTGCAATCTTTCATCCGTCAGCTTCTAAGGAAAAAAATTGCGTTGTTGTCGAAATACGTGACTATTGGGACAACCTAATAATTTGGCCTATTACCGTCTGGTTTGCGGAGGCCAGCGATGTACAATGCACTTCAGTGTTTCATCCTCCCAAGCGAATCTCGTATATAGTTGTCGGCCAGTGAGCTATGGAAGAACTGGTTTGTCGGGTGCGTTAAAGACAAGCGAGCCTTCACCTCTGCATTGTAGGCGTGGTAAGTGACGTCTACTCTGTTATGTCCTCTCCCTGGGAGGGGAAACTACTCAAAGAGAAAATGCTCAGTGTTTCGGAATGCGCCACGCATTCGACTCCCAGACAAGTAGAGTATAAAACATTTGCTGACAGCAGGGGCTGCCCAGTGAATGAAACATTGCAAAATCCTCTCAAACAAATCAGTTGCTTATTAGTCCTTGCCTGAGTGATTAAGATTAGCTTGAGCAGGGCAAAGACTAATCCTAATCCGCTGCGTGTGACACACCCTCACTTGTCACCGCACCTCATTCGCCTAATTTTCTCACGCACTGGACTTTTTCCTTTTCACAGTGCGACCGTGGAAAGAAAGTAGAGAGCCTTAGGATTTTCTTGGCTTTGCAATGAACTTCGTGAATATCTTAATAGCTTCGTGCTTATGACTTTCAGACGTCATTGATAGTACAGAGGTCCCTTCACTTCGTCTGAACGGTCGACTAAACCCAACAGAATAAGATGCAAATGAGAAATGGTTCGCGCAGAATGTGAGACTCGGATTGCACCATATGGGGCGCTGCTTGCCACTGCATCAGCTCCACTCCCAGAAGAACCTGAGAATAAAGACGAGAAATCTCTCTCTCTCTCTCTCTTCT